GGCCCTTCTCCCCAATTACCTGAATTCTCTAGATCTTTGTAGGCCTCTGTCCAGGATTTGCCCATGTTAGCCAACGTGTATTCCATTATCTGGATGTCGGTGATGGGACAATTGCACTGAGGGAACTCTTCGGCACATTGGCATCCGCACTGGCTGTCTCGGCAGATATATTCACCTTCTCCATTGCACATGATGTAACTCAGGGCTGACTGCACAAATTTCTCTTGCAAGTATTGAGGAAAGATGACCTGGAGACCTACAGGGAAGAGAGAAAGGAGAAAGAAAAGGGAAATCAAAATAGGACGAGGAGAGAGAGTCTCCCCTAACTTCTCTAGCAGAGTCACCCGGGCTGGTTTTGCATTTCATGCTTAACCTGTGTTGTGGGAAAGCTGACCTACTTTTGGCGTTTGCACAATCATATTGAACCATGAAGAATCCCAAGGGGAAGGTTGACCTAACATGCTGAACCTCACATCCAGAAAGCTCTATGGTATATACTCTATGCTCTTTTGTTCGGAGTAGAGTTTCCTGTTTCCTGTTACAGTTAAATAGTTGAGCAGTAAAGCACATGGTGACTGTACCCTTTGTTTGCTCTGTGGTGCTTTATATAAACAGAATTTCTAACACTAGTCCAACCCCCCTAATCAAATGGGGCTCATTATTGGACAAATTTGTGAGGTTCTCTATCTGATATTGTGAGAACACAGTCTATAAATTGGCAGACTTTTCATGTCTCCCTCCAGCCGCCATTTTGGTAGTTCTGGTGTCCCAGAAGCGGAACTGAAAATGCATGTTTGCAAGGTCACTCCAAGAAACCAACTTTTCTTGGCTAAGTGGACATCAGTGCTTTGCACAAGTGGCTGGCCATGCAACCTGCTTTCTCTTCATGTCGGCAGTTTTCCACTGGGCAGCCCGAGGCCCGTTGTGTCTCTGCAGCTGTTTCCTCACATTTGGGAAGCTGAGCTTGTCAAAGCCGATCAGCTTCCCGGGGGTACCCAAGGATGGCGAACGAGAGGCGCAGAAAGTCCAGCCTTCCTGCAGATCTTTGAAACATTTCTCTGCGCGTGTCACTCAGCCAGATGCAGGCCTAAATCTTCAGAGTGGCTGATGAAGCAACTGAAAACCTCACTAATTACGCTTCCATTTGTAGGGCTGCAAAATCCTCCTAATGCCGTTTGACAAACCTCAGTGGTGCAGAAAGGAAGAACAAAATAAAAAAAAATGCAAAAATGAGATCATTCAGATCTTATCTGAAGGAGGGAGTTTATCAATAATTGGAAGAAGAATTTAACCATCCAGCCCCAATTCTCTTTGCCGCACACACTGGCAGGCCTCGATTTTTTTAAAAAAAACAAAACTGTGATCTGTTATACAATTTCAATTTGCTGATCAGAACTAGGATGATGATTCTCTGGCTGTGATTCATTCCTCTCTTCTTCCCTTTCTTAGAATAGAAAAGAAATCTTCCCCTCCTTCACGTTTGGATGCATGACAGTATTGAAGTCTGTGAAATTATTATTCCATCTAAAACTAAACTCTGAGAAGGCCAGATGCGTTTGTTGGCTCTCTTTGGAGATGAGTAGGAATGTAAATGATTTTTTAAAAAAATCCTTCTAATTAAAAAAACCCAACAACTTCCATTTGTAAATGCTTCTAAGGAATCAGAACACCAACCTGTTTCAAAAGCTGTACAACTTCAGAGGCTTTTGCCAAAAAAAGAAGAAGAGAGAGAAATCTTATTCCTTGGCTGAGTACGATGGGCGACAAAAGAAATAGAAGCCAAGAAGAATCTGTTCAACAAATATGATAAATACAGGTAGTTCTCAACTTCCGATCACAATTTATGCCTCTAAGTGAAAAATGTGTCGATTGGCCCCATTGAACGACCTTTCTTGTCATAGTTGTGAATCCGTGAATCCATGCAGGTGTTGAGTTAGTAACACAGTTGTTAAACAGAATCTGCTTCCCCCATTTGTCTTTGCTTGTCCGAAAGTCGCAAAAAGGGATCACCTGATCCCAGGACACTGGAACCATCGTAACTATGAGTCAATTGCCAAGCATTGGATTTCGATTACGTGACCATGAGGATGCTGCGACGGTCGTAACTGTGAAAAACGGTCATAAGTCGCTTTTTTTTTCAGGGCCGTTGCGATTTCGAACAGTCACTAAATGGCTACCCGGAGCTTGTTGTTAGTTGCGAAGTCGTGTCCGACCCATCGTGACCCCATGGACAATGTTCCTCCAGGCCTTCCTGTCTTCTACCATCTTCTGGAGTCCATTTAAGTTCACGCCTCCTGCTTCAGTGACTCCATCCAGCCACCTCCTTCTCTGTCGTCCCCTTCTTCTCTTGCCCTCCATCTTTCCCAGCATTAGGCTCTTCTCCAGTGAGTCCTTCTTCTCATTAGGTGGCCAAAGTGTTTGAGTTTCAACTTCAGGATCTGGCCTTCTAAAGAGCAGTCGGGGTTGATCTCTTCTAAGACTGACCGGTTTGAACCCGGAGCTACAGAACATTAAATACTGATGGGGGAAAAAGTTTGATTGATGGCCGTTTTTCAGGCTCGTAGAAGGTGAGAATCAGAAAGAGCGAGCTCGCTTAGGAAGATGCAAAAACACATAGCCGAGTCCTTGGTGACAAGTTCCATTTATAGCCTCATCCATGGCAACTTGGAATTAAGGGGAAAAAAAAAGAAAGAAATCAAGTCACAGTCTTGACTTGTGTTTTTTTTTTTTTTGACCTAATTTCTTGCAACCCGATCGATAGAAATGGTATTTGAGACACAGAAGGGAAAAAGGAAGACGTGGGGAAGGGAGCAGAACCAGCTTCATTTGGAGAACAGAAGGTGAACAATTAAAGGGCACAAATTTCTTTTCCAAATATGGATGGCCTACAGGGAAGAGAGACCCATCTTTGACCATCTCACCATGTGTGTGTGTGTGTGGGGGGTCTTGGATAATAATAGCACAGGCATGCAAAAAGATATATTGGTGGTCCAAAGCTGCCTTCAACCATTTGAAGAAGGCACCCCAATACTTTCTGGTTCCAGGTCTTCTTCAGGGACCCGCCTCTTACAAGCAGACTTAAGAGTTATCACAGACGGAGGCTGGGAAGTTGAGGCTAGCCAGATTTCAAAACTGGGAGAGGAACTTGAGGTCGACTAATCTAATCTCCCGCAAGAACCCAAATTCGAATCTCTGTGACAGATTGGCTCCTCTCCTTGAAGTCTTCTAGCAAAGGGGAACATAACACCTTCCTTAGTAACGCACACCAGCACAAATAATTTTACCACTAGGAATTTGTTCCTAATGTGGAAGAGTTAGCGGTGAAAGGAAAACAGGTCGCCTAAGAATACGGTGGATGGACGCCATCAAAGCTGGCACCAGCCAGAGCATAGAACGATTTCAAAGACGTAGTCCAAGATCGGAAGATATGGAGAGACCTAGCCCAGGGGTAGGCAACCTTGGCTCTTTTATGACTCGTGGACTTCAACTCCCAGAATTCCTGAGCCAGCATAGCATAGCTTCTTCTTCTTCTCTATATCTGTCTCCTCCTCTTCCTCCTCCTCTTTATTTTCCTCCCATTTAATTGATTCCTATCTTCCTATAACTTAAAGCCCTTCTTCTCTGCATGAACCCATTGTGATTTTCTTCTACTTGATGCCCTTTCTGGTACTTGAAAGATGTTCTCCTGCACCTCTCTCTCATATCAGTTGTTCTCAGGACTAAACATACCCAGCTCCCTTTATCTTAGAACCTTAGAATAACAGAGTTGGAAGCAACCTTGTAGGTCATTTAGTCCACCCACCCCCCACTGCCCAAGCAGTAGACCCTATACCATTACTGACAGATGGCACTCCAGTCTCTTCTTGAAAGCTTCCAATGGTGAAGCTGCCACAACTTCTGAAGGCAGTCTCTTCCACTGGTTGATTGTTCTCACTGTCAGAAATTTTCTCCTTATTTCTAGTTGCGAATCTCATACACAGCTTTAGTTCCTTCTTCTCTGAACCTGCTCCAGTTTGCCTGGATCCTTCTTAAAAAGTGTGACGTTCAGAACTGGAGTCCAGAACTGAAATCAACCAGTGGCGTGACTGTTGCATCAGTCGACATCTGTCAAAACTATATAGACAAGAATGATGGAAGGTTCTCAGCTGGAGAGAAGGATAAACAAGCCGTCTCATTACCAGTAACCTTTAAAAGTGTGCCTTTTACCTTCTTTGTTTTTCTACTCACTCCACCAACTAGAAGGTGCTTCTCAGAATAATTAATGAAAACCTTTGCCTTCCCAGCTGCTGTGTAACTTCCTCATTAGGAACTATTTACAGGGCTGCAGATAATGGATCACAACTTTCGTCTCTTCCGAGATCGCTTTGCCAACCCCGTTGCCAGAACCTGTGGTGGCTGTATAACTGTTGCCACACAACTCACCAACGTCTATTATTTTCCATCGGAAACCACTCGGAGGAAAGAACAGCCCTATGCACCCTTGTGTACACATCCAACATTTTAACATAGTTAAAAGTTGGAATGCAGTCCTTGGCTTACGATCACAATTGTGATCAGAATTTCCACTGCCAAGGACGGCGGCTCTTCAGCAAGTTGTGCCCAATTTTATGACATTTTTACGCAGGGTTGATAAGTGAAACACTGCACTCGTTCTGCGAATCATTGAGCGACTCCAGCTTCCCCCACTGATTTTGCTTTCTTGGAATCTGGCTGGGAAGGTTGCAAACCACACTTCCATGACCCAGGACACTGCAATTGTTGAAAATACATATCAGTTGCCAAGGGTCCAAATTTTTATCACCTGACTGTGGGGATGCTCCAACAATTGTCTTGTATTTGCAAGACTAGTCATTCTTTCGGGAGTGCCGTTGTAACTTATCAGTCAATCAATCGATCAGAATAGAGCTGGAAGGGACCTTGGAGGTCTTCTAGTCCAACTCCTTGCTCAAGCAGGAGATCCTATAATCTTTCATACAGGTGGCTGTCCAGTCTCTTCTTAATAACCTCCAGTGATGGAGCATCCACAACTTCTGAAAGCAACTTCTATTCCACTGATTAATTGTCCTCACTGTTAGGAAGTTTCTCCTTAGTTCAAGGTTGCTTCTCTCCTTGGTTAGTTTCCATCCATTGTTTCTTGTCCTGATTTCTGGTGCTTTGGAAAATAAGTTGACCCCCCTCTTCTTTGGGGAAGCCCCTCAAGTACTGGAAGACTGCTATCATGTCCCCCTTAGTCCATCTTTTCTCTAGACTGGCCAAACCCAAATCCAGCAACCGTTCTTCATATGTTTTAGTCTCCAGGCCTTTAGTCATCTTAGTTGCTCTTCTTTGCACTTTTTCCAAAGTCTCAACAACTTTTTTGTAATGTGGTGACCAAAACTGGATGCAGTATTCCAGGTGTGGCCTTACTAAGGCTTTATAAAGCGCTACTAATACTTCCCTTGATGTTAATTCTATACCTCTTGTTTATACAACCAAGGATTGTATTAGCTTCAATTGATCGTTGTGGGTTACCTGAAATTTCTAAATCTTTTTCAGATTGTTTTGTTTTCATAATCCAGAACAAGTTGGAGGTTTGCACTAAAATATTACTTCCATTGTTTCTGATATATTGTCACAGGATGGGGATTTACCAATGTGCTCGGGAACCCCAGGAAAGCATTAGAGGCAAAACACAGGCAAACAAACAAAAATCAAAAAAGGGGTTTCACATGCACGGATCTGACTATTCAGTGTCCCACGGGGAGATTGTGGCTAGATATATCCGGAGGAAAGTTTGCAAACAGAACATTAAATAAGTAAGACAAAGGATCTCATATGCCATGCTAAATTTCACTCCTTTTTCAGTTAAATAAGAACAGAGCCGTGATTTAGAGGCAAGGTTTGGCTGTAAATAAATTAAGATGCGCTTTCTCAGCTTGGTGGTTTCCTTGCAGACGTTTCATTACCCAACTAGGGAACATCATCAGTGCTAGAAAGGAGTGGGATTTGTGAAGAGGAGGAGGAGGAGGATAGTGGGGTCCTTGGTGCTCTCTGAGCTTGGTGGTTTTCTTGCAGACGTTTCATTACCCAACTAGGGAACATCATCAGTGCTAGAAGGGAGTGCGGTTTGTTCTCTTTCTGCAAGAAAACAACCAAGCTCAGATTTCAACTCTGAGCCTCAAATATTCTCCTTTATTATAAAAAAATTCAAAGCAAAGTACAAGAGCGATTTCCCAAAGGGCTTTTTCCAAAGGCAACTGGACTTCCTTGAAAATGTTTCGCTTCTCATCCAAGAAGCTTCTTAGATGAGAGGCAAAACGATTTCAAGGAAAGAAAAACCAAGAAAAACCAGTTGCTTTTGAGAAAAGCACCTTTGGGAGGACCATGACCTGGGTGATTGAGCATCTCCATAGACATTCAAGAAGGAGGCCAGCCAAGGATGAAGCCTCCCCGCATCTCACCTGGATACAGTTCCTTGAAACACCTTGCAAAGAAGAGAGATGTTAGAGAGGGGAGACCACACGGTCATCAAAACCAGGCAGTTGAGTCTTTTGTTCCCCTTCCCCCCCCTTACCTTGGAGATGGAGTTTGCTCTCCGTGCTTTGTAGAAGGACAGAACTCACAGAGTCCAGATTGTCATAACTGTTACAGCCCAGAGGACCCGTTCGCGTTTCGGTGACCTGGAGCACATCAAAAGAAAAGAAAGCCGTAGGAGCTGCCCCATTGAAAAGAAGGCTGAGCAGCAAGCAAACCGCTTTGGTCAAAGCGTGGGCAGAATGGAACTAAGATCCCAAGAAGAACAATTAACCAGTGGGACAACCTGCCTCCCGAAGCTGTGGATGTTCCAACACTGGAAGTTTTTAAGGAGGGACTGGACAGCCATTTGTCTGAAATGGTGTAGGGTTTCCTGCTGCCTTCTATTCTATTCTATTCTATTCTATTCTATTCTATTCTATTCTATTCTATTCTATTCCTTTCCTTATTCTCTTCTGCTCTCTTCTCTTCTCTTCTCTTCTCTTCTCTTCTATTCCTTTCCTTATTCTATTCTATTCTATTCTATTCTATTCTATTCTATTCTATTCTATTCTATTCTATTCTATTCTATTCTATTCTATTCTGTTCTCTCTGTCTCTCTGTCCATCTCTCTCTATCTGTCTTTGTCCATCTGTCTGTCTCCCTCTGTCTCTCTCTCTCTCTCTCTGTCTCTTTTTGTCTCTCTCTGTCTCTCTTTCTGTCTCTCTCTATATTTTGTGCTAGTTTTGCTGAGAAACTGTGGCCAGGCTTCTAACCACCATCATGCTGCTTTCGAGGCAGTTGGGAAAGATATATTCCGAGTGGAATAACTTCTATTTCCTTTGGCAGAGCCTGATGGCGAGCAGATCAAAGGGACGTGTCTATTTTCCCACCTTGCACATCAACTGTCGAAATGCACCTGACTCTCCTCTTCCCAAACTTCAGATGCTTTCAGCACATCTCTCTGGCACCTTCAAGCACTCAGAAATAAAATAAAAAAAAAATCTGATCTCTGATAGGGTGGCAAAGGCCAAACCTTTATGGAACTGTCTTCCAGCCACTGTTTTGTAGGTCAATTGCTAAGAAGCTCCAAATACTTTTCCCTTTCTTTTTTTTGCCGGGGCAACTAGATTGCTTTCAAGATCTCCAAAGGACCTTTGCCCCAGCCATTATCCCATCCTGTGAGCTGTGTCATGCAGCACTTTTTAGGTTTTTGTCTAGGCGCATGGCGCTTTCCGTTCACTCACACACCAAAAAGCCATTTAGCTGACTTCTAAGCAGGTCTGCAGGAGAAAAGGATGGTCAGGAACGAGAGGTGCCTTTCAGCATTGCTTCTCTCGAGGCACACCGATTGGCTAGCTGCTCCTGCAGCTATCCCAAAGGCAACTGGACTTTGTTTTTCCCTGAAGACGTTTCACTTCTCATCCCAGAAGCTTCTCCAGTTCTGACTTCAGAATTTCAGTCAGAACTGAAGAAGCGTCTGGGACAATGGATTTCCAGAAAACACGGCAGACTACAGGAACCCTTTGCGCTTCAGTTTGAGATGCAGACAACACAGACTCATCCCCAACAGCCTGCGCCTGTCTCCAACAGGGAAGGGACCCAGGGCAGAAGACATCCTGCAGCCAAGAAGGCTCCACACCCATTTGCACCACTCAGGTGACCCTTGAAATGGCTTCAACGGCTCTCTAAAAGAATGCAAAGGACCAGCTGTCTGCAAGGAGTATAAATCCTTCCATTCCCCACCATCCAGTCAGAGCTGAAGAAGCTTCTTGGGTGAGAAGCGAAATGTCTTCAAAGAAAAAACAAAGGAAGTCCAGTTGCCTCTTGAAAAAAGCACCTTTGGGACAACCATGACCTGGATGATGGAGAACTTCCATAGACATTCAGCTATGCACTTGGGGATGAACACCTTTTGAATTATGCAGGAGTGTGAACAGATTTCCAGAAAACATTGCAGACTACAAGAGCCATTTGCGCTTCAGTGTGAGATGCAGACAACACAGACTCATCCCCAACAGCCTGCACCTGTCTCCAACAGGAAAGGGACTCAGGGCAGAAAACATCCTGCAGCCAAGAAGGCTCCACATCCATTTGCACCGCTCAGGTGACTCTGAGGACACAGGTGAACCTCCAAGTGGCCTGAACGACTCCCTAAAAGAAGGCAAATGATCAACAATCTGCAAGGAGTATAAATCCTTCCATTCCCCACCATCCAGTCAGAGCTGAAGAAGCTTCTTGGGTGAGAAGTGAAAGGTCTTCAAAGACAAACGAAAAAGTCAAGTTTCCTTGTGAAAAAGCACCTTTGGGTATGATCTGAATGACTGAGAATCTCCACAGACATGTTCCTGCAGTTCTTTGCCACCACTTCCTTGTCTCCCTACTCAATTTCCCATCTCCCAAAGATTTGGAGATTTTGCTGTCTATCCTCTGACATTTCTCAGATGGAATTAGGAACAGATAGCCCAGCAATCTGTATCTCCTCACTCCAAACTGAATGAAAATCGAACCATTTTTAGAAGCAAGTCAAGAAATGCTCTTAAAATGGTCGCTACTCGCGAACTTTCCAAATTCATCAAAATCTGGCAGTCACATATGAGATCATTGTAGAATCAGGGAATCGGGGATTCACAAGATTTCGGATGGGGAGGGGAATGGAACACTGGCCAAGTTCTAGATGAGAAGATCAACATCCAACTTGGACACCATCAGCCCCACCTCCACCCCCAAAAATAAAATCCAGGATATGTACAGTTAAGACTGGTTAGAAGGTCCACCAGAACATCTAGACTTCATGTAGGTGTTGTGGGGGAGGAGGGAGAAAATAGGCACTGACTTCTGGGTGGTGGGAACAAGATTTGGGGAAAAAAGAAAGAAAAGAAAAAAGAAAAGGAGAATCACCTTTCCCAGGAACTGGTTTTCCCCACACCCGTTTTACTCAAACCAAACTAACTATGTGTTGTAAACCATGTTCTACCTTGATTGCTCCTGTGGAGATCTGAATCTCATGAAGACGTCTCATGGTTCCATCCCGGTCCACAAAATACGAAGAGGCAAGCTGGTGAAGGGACTCAACACTTTGGCTGGCATTGCCCGACTTCCGGTCAAGTCGGTTTTTGTCCATATACATGGTCAACGCTTCCTCTCCTAGTGAAGCATCAAAAAGATGAAGAAGGAGGTGAAAAGGGAAGGGAAGAGAAGGGAAGGGAGGAAGGAAGGAAGGGGGAAGAAAGAAAGGAAGAAGAAAAAAGAGAAGGAAGGGAGGAAGGAAGGAAGGAAGGAAGAAAGGAAAGAAGGGAGGGATGAAGGAAGGAAGGAAGGAAGGAAGGAAGGAAGGAAGGAAGGAAGGAAGGAAGGAAGGAAGGAAGGAGGAAAAAAGAGAGAAGGAAAGAAAAATAGGAAGGATAGGAGGAGATCAGAGTCAAATTACTGCTGCTGCCAACAGATGAAAACAAATATACAGTTTGTGTTTTGATTTGAGTTGCAGCCATTTTACACCTGATCAATCAACGGCATTTCAAGGCACGCCAACAGGAGCTTTACTTTCCCAAGCAGAAGACATCAAGGCTGATGTATCTTCTATGCCAGACTGATGATTATTGCCTTGAAAAGCCCTCAGATTCATCTGTCTCTCAGAACCAAGCTAACAAACACCGCTAAATCGAAAAATTAGGCCAAGAGCCTTAATATCTTGGCGCACGTCCCCACCTGCAGCTCCGTTCCATTCTCCATCCTTAATGTCTTGCACCTCTTCACCGTGAAACAAATCCCCAGAATGAAGAAATAAAGGGCGGCGAACAAGCACGTGAGCATTAAAAGCAATCTTCTTTAAAGGGGGAATAATATGACATTTCCCACACAAAGGACACTGACTATATTTTTCAGGATTCATTTGGATCAGATTCAACGAGGGCCAATTAGGGTGTTTCAGCCAATGCCAAAACCGTGGGGGGAAAGCTTCTGTTGGTCTAACACTCTGGCCATTAGGGGATAATTAATTTTGTGCTTCTGACACGGAACGGCAATCGCAACCTAGTAACCGCAGAAGAGAGGGCTTTTTTCCCCCTTAAAATATTTGCAGAAGTAGGACAATCAATAGATATATTGAGAGGGAGGGAGGGATAAGAGAAGAGAAGAGAAGAGAAGAGAAGAGAGGGACAAAGGGAGAAAGGGAGGGATGGATGGACAGATGAAGGAAGGGAGGAGAAAAGAAGAGGAGAGAGAAGAGAGAAGAGAAGAGAAGAGAAGAGAAGAGGAGAGGAGAGGAGAGGAGAGGAGAGGAGAGGAGAGAGGGACAGAGGGAGGGAGGGACGGATGGATGGACAGATGAAGGGAGGAGAAAAGAAGAGGGGAGAGAAGAGAGGAAAAGAGAAGAGAAGAGAAGAGAAGAGAAGAGAAGAGAAGAGAAGAGAAGAAAGAGAAGAGAGGGACAGAGGGAGGGAGGGACGGATGGATGGACAGATGGGGGGAGAGAGGAGAAAAGAAGAGGGGAGGGAAGAGAAGAGAAGAGAAAGAAGAGAAGAGAAGAGAAGAGAAAGAGAGAAGGGAGGGACAGAAGGAGGGAGGGACAGATGATGGAGGGAGGGAGGACAAAAGAAGAGAGGAGAGGAGGGGAGAGAGAGAGAGAGAGAGAGAAAGAGAGAGAAACTGCCCTGTTTCTGCAAGTGTGTTTGTGTGTGTGTGTGTGTGTTTGTAGATACACCAAAGAGAGAGACACACACACACCCTAGGACACGGCTACAACTCCAGAATGAACTGTGCAAATGAGAAAGTTAAACAGTGGAGAAACTGGGTGTTAAAATGGCAGGTGTGTTTCCAACACCCAAACGACTTGAGTCGAGTGAGCAAAACATTGCCCGGGAATAAAAGGCAGCCACAGCAATCAAGAAGGGTTAATAGATTTTTCACTGCATTATTAAGTCCTAATTTCTCATTTATTAAAACATTCAAAGTCATCTTGCCTTCGGGGTATTCCATGCAAATTATCTCTCCGCGATGCTTCTCCAACCTCTGGAATTAGGAGGAGGAACCGCCCGGGATAGGATCTTTAGATAGTAACTAAGAAGGGAGAGCCCGTTTGATGGCTGGGGGAGGACAGGTAGAGGTAGAGGTTTGGATGAAACCGAGACACACAACAAAGTAGGCTTCCCTACCCTACTGCCATTTCAAGGCGTCCTGTTTTTAGGCCCCCTCCACCATTATTAAACCCACTTCCATTAGAGGCAAGCAACAGCTTTGCTGAGCCTTCCCACTAGCTGCTATTTATATAGGAGGAACAGTTGGAAGTACACGGTAGGAAAAATCACACAAGGCCTGGGAAGAAGGCATTTCAGAATTTAGAGATCTTGGCTGGGAACATCAAAATGGGGGGGGGGAGAGAGAGAGAGAGAGAGAGAGAGAGAGAGAGAGAGAGAGAGAGAGAGAGAGAGAGAGAGAGAGAGACTGTCAATAGATAGATAAATGATACAGCAGATGGATTGACATAGATGATTGATAGATACAGAGAGAGAGACTGTACATAGACATAGATAGATGATAAGAAAGAAAGAAAGAAAGAAAGAAGAAGAAGAAGAAAGAAAGAAAGAAAGAAAGAAAGAAAGAATCAGAATATCAGAGTTGGAAGGGACCTTGGAGGTAATCTAGTCCAACCCCACCCAAGCAGGAGACCCTACACCATTTCTGACAGATGGTAGTCCAGTCTCTTCTTGAAAGCTTCCAGTGATGAAACTCCCACAACTTTTGAAGCCAATTACTATTCCACCCTCATTGCGTCAATTACTATTCCACCCTCATTGCGTCATCAGATAATCGCCCGGCCTCCCTCTTCAGGGTGACCCGCTCTCTCCTTCAATTGAGGGGGGGGATCCCCTGGAGGGGAGGGCCGAGGACTTTGCGCAATATCTGCATGACAAAGTCGCTCGGATCCGAGAAGGCCTGGACTCTGACTGGGTGGCCCCGGGGGAGGATACGGGAGCAGGTCTTGAGACTGTTGTATGGGAGGAGTTTGA